CTACAATCTATTCTATCCCTTATTCTATTCTGTCCCTATTCTATTCTATTCTGTCCCTTATTCTATTCTATCCCGTATTCTATTCTATTCTATTCTATTCTATAATCTATTCTATTCTATTCTACTCTACTCTACTCTACTCTATTCTATTCCTATCCTGTTCTATTTACTTGATGGGCTCCGTAACCTTTGGAGGTCCCCAGGCCTACTGGCCAAACCAGGGCTTCAGGGCTTGTAGAAAGATTGTCAAGATGGGATGCAAGCCTATCCCTGCAGGGATGACGTTCCACAAGGAGGGGGCCACCCCAGAGAAGGCTCTTCTTCTTTCCCACCAGATGGACCTCTTTAAGAGGGGGGGGAACTGTAGCATCCCTGCCTCCCTGTTCTGGTGGGTCAGGGTAGATGTAATGGGAAAATGTGGTCCTTCAAATAACCTGGCCTGAAGCCACGGAGAACTTTGAAGGTGACAACCAGCACGTGGGACTGGACCCGGAAGCAAATCCTGAAGCTCCTGCAGGAGAGGGGACACGTGTGAAAATCTAGACTTGCGCAGAACCACGTCGACCACCGCATTTTGAACCAATTAAAGCTTCCAGATACTTTTCAAGGGCTGCCCCACGTGGAGTGCATGCAGTAGTCAACCTCAACCTTGGGTTCTTGGAGAAAAGGCAAAATATACTTCAAAGAAATAGGAAGAAATGAGCAATTCAGAAAGGAATGGATGTTTGACAGCTTTTGTAAAATAAAATCTACAGTGGAAGTTAGTTATTGATTGAACCTGGATGGCTCTGAGATGGATCAGTAAGGCTGGCTAGCTCATAGTGGGATGGGAGGCCACAAGGAAATTCCCAGGCCAAAATAATAATAATAATAATAATAATAATAATAATAAAGTTGGAAGGGACCTTGGAAGTCATCTAGTCCAACCCCCTGCTCAGGCAAGAAACTTATTTATTTTTAAAGAAACACTTGCCCGTAAGAAAAACTATTTCAACTATTGTTGAAAATCACAAGATGCCACCCACAAAATCATCAGGATTGGTGGGAGGCAGAGTGTCCGTTCTCGCTATGAACCCCCAAATCTTCCCCTGAAAAGCTGGGGCGAGTTGGGGGGGGTTATGATTAATATGGCTGTGGATTTTTAATGTTGTAAGCCACCCAGAGTTACGCCGTGTCTGAGTTAGGTGGCTGTAAACATTTTACTTTGATGCAGAGTCTTGAACTTTAATGGAACCTGTCCGTCATAAAGTGGGTCACCCACACGACCCTTCCAATTTTGCATCCTTTCTTGTGGCAGTCCCTACGGTCGTTAAGCAAATCAATTCACCGCAGGGCCGTTTGGCTAAAACAAGGAAGTAATGACCAATTTTTGGAGGAAAAAAAATAATCATTAAATATTGTCACGTGACCACAGGATGCCGCAAACAGCTGTAAACGCAAGGCCTGTCACTAAGCACCTGGAATGCGGTCACTGACGGCAGTGTGTGCGTTGTGTGTGCACGCGTGTGTTGGAACTTTGGAACTGGGTTGTAAGAATCCCTGGGGAGATGTGTCCTAGCTTCAAATGGTCCCTAAGCAGCTGGTTCTAAAGCTGAGGTTGTTGTTGTTAGTTGTGAAGTCGTGTCCGACCCATCGTGACCCCATGGACCACGTTCCTCCAGGCCTTCCTGTCCTCTACCATCTTCTGGAGTCCATTGAAGCTCCCGCCTCCTGCTTCAGGGACTCCCTCCAGCCACCTCCTTCTGTCGTCCCCTTCTTCTCTTGCCCTCCATCTTTCCCAGCATCAGGCTCTTCTCCAGTGAGTCCTTCCTTCTCATTAGGTGGCCAAAGTCCTTGAGTTTCCACTTCAGGATTTGGCCTTCTAAAAATCTCCTCTAGGACTGACCTGTTTGATTGCCTTGCAGTCGAGGGGACTTGCAGGAGTCTTCTCCAGCACCAGAGTTCAAAGGCCTCCATTCTTTGTCGCTCAGCTTTCCTTATGATCCAACTTTCACAGCCATACATTGCAACTGGGAAAACCATGGCCTTGACTATCCGCACTTTTGTTGGCAGGGTGATAAGAAATCATGGTTCATCAGGCAGTCTGCCAGATGTTCAGACCGGATTTGGCCTTTTTGTCTGCCCACCGTCTCCTTCCCAAGGCCCTGGGAGAGGCAGATGTGGATGTTGGATGGTATTAAAGTCTACGGAGATTCTCTGTCCTTCAGGTGATGGTTCTCCTGTTCCACAGGAGGCAATTTTTTTCAGGAGGCAATTTAGGCTTTCTGGTTTTTCTTTGAAGACATTTAGCTTCTCATCCAAGAAGCTTCTTCAGCTCTGACTTAAAATAAAAAAAAAAAAAGAAGTCCAGCTGCCTCCTGAAAAAGCCCTTTTCGGACAACCTGGATGGCTGAGAATATCCATGGACATTTAGCCATGCACTTTGGGAGTAACCCCCTCCAAAGGGTGCGGGAGCAGGAATGGATGTCCAGAAAAAAAATTGCAGACCGCAGAAACCATTTGCGCTTCATTTTGAGATGCAGACAACACAGACTCATCCCCATCATCCTGCGCCCATCTTCAACCAGGAAGGGACCCAGAGCAGAAGACATCCTGCAGCCAAGAAGGCTCCACACCCATTTGCACCACTCAGGTGACCCTGAGGACACAGGTAAGCCTCCAGGTGGCCTCAACGACTCTCTAAAAGAAGGCAACGGACCGGCAGACTACAAGGAGTATAAATCCTTCCCTCCCCCACCATTCGGTCAGAACCTGAGGAAGCTTCTTTGGATGAGAAGCGAAACGTCTTCAAAGACAAAAACAAGGAGGTCCAGTTGCCTCCTGAAAAAGAAGCTAAAGATATCTTCTCAGGATGTCAGCTGTTCCAAGCAAAGCTGCCTTTTGGCAATTGACCGACCCCCCATGGGTCAATGACAATGGGGTGTCTAAGTAGTAGTAGTTAGTAGTAGTAATAATAATAATAATAATAATAATAATAATAATAATAATAATAATAATAATAATAATAATAATAATAATAATAATAAATAAAATAAAGTTGGAAGGGACCTTGGAGGTCATCTAGTCCAGGGCTTTTCAACCAGTGGTACAGGCACCACCTGTGGTACATTGGCACCTGGCAGGTGGTATGCGACCATCCTAAAAAAGGGGTAGCGGGGGATGAGCTGAACTGGTGGCAGCACCGCACAAGCCTGAGGGAGAGACGGCTGGAGCTGCAGGGCTGTCAGGGCTCAGCGGAAGCGCCAGGATCAGCACCAGTCTCCAGCTGGATCTCGGCGCTGATCCTGGCGCTTCCGCTGAGCCCAGAAGAAGTGCCGATCAGCTGGAATGTTGCAGCATCTCCAGGGTCTTGTGATTTACATTCAGAGGCTTGGCAACTGATTCATATTTATGACGCTCACAGTGTCCCAGGGTCATGTGAAGGGACCAAAACCTGTTTGCAACCACCCAGCAGACGGGGGGAATAAAAACCAAACACCCCCCCACCCCACCCCCGCTGCCAATCCTCAACAGAAATGCTCACAATGAAAACCTCAGACAGGAGGAAGAGCGCGGCCGGGCGGGCAGGCAGGTGTCTTGCTTGGCTGTGGCTTGGGGGGGGGCTTTTTTCAGGGCCATTGTAACTTCGAACAGTCACTAAGACAGTGGTTCTCAACCTTTTTAATGCCACGACCCCCAACCGGTCGTAAGTCGAGGACTAAACCGGTCATAAGTCGAGGACTAAACCGGTTGTAAGTTGAGGACTACCCAACCGGTCGTAAGTCGAGGACTTTCTCTGCCCGGGAGCGCCGCGCATGCGTGGTTCCGGCCCCTGCGCCGGCCGAGGCGTATCTGGCAAGCGGCAGAGACGGAGCAGGCCGACCACCAGCTGGCCCAGCCCAAGGGAGGTAAGGCACCCGCCGGAAAAGGGGGAAAAAATGGTGGACAAAAAAAATGGCGGACAAAAAAAATGGCGGACAGCCTTGCTTGGCGACCCCCATGAAATGGTCGATCGACCCCAAATGGGGTCCCGACCCACAGGTTGAGAACCACTGCACTAAGCGAACTGTTGTAAGTCGAGGACTACCTGTACTTTATCACTTTTTTCCTTTTTTTTTTTTTTGGTCATCAAGTTTTTGACCCCTTGCTAGCCGACTGGTGGTCCTCGGATGTTGCCATATCCTAAAAGTGGTACAATGGGTGAAAAGGTTGAAAAGCCCTGCTCTAGTCCAACCCCCTGCTCAGGCAGGAAACCCTACACCGTTTCGGACAAAGGGCTGTCCAGTCCCTTCTTAAAAACTTCCAGTGTTGGAGCGTTCACCGCTTCTGGTGGCAGGTTGTTCCCCTGGTTAATTGCTCTACGACTACCTTTGCTTTCTTTTGCCAGTCATCCTGTTTCTGTTTGCAAGCCTTTGGATGCCATTGTCGTAGTCGCCACCCTTTTATTATTTATCGCACTTAGCCTGTAAAGACCCTGACACCCCCCCCAAAAAAAAAAAACCCCAGCCCCCTCCTCACCTCCCAGGAGAGAGAATTCAATCCAGGAAGCCGTCCGGGTCTGCTTCTGGCTTTCATTTTTTTTTTCTCTCTCGTTTTAATATAAGAAGAAGCAAATCCACAATACAAAATTTAAAAATCAGCACCCAGGACCCCTCCCATTACCCCCCTCTCCCAGGACAATGAAGAAGGGAAGGGGAACCGGTGTGAAAAGCTTTTTTGGGGGGGGGGTAAAGGGGAGGGGCTGAGGTGGGGAGGAGGGGGAGATCCGTTTAACTCTACCTCCCTCCCCCCCACCTGCCTGTTTCTTCCCCAGGGAGGGGATTCCAGGTCCAGGAAGCCAGGTCGGAGACCCAAAGCACGGATCGGGGTCCCGTGCTGCCCCAAGTCCGACAGACAGACAGACAGACGGACGCAGAGAGACACACACACGCGTGCGCGCGCGCACCCCGCGCACGGCTGTGACGCCATCCAGTTGGCTTGGAAAGAAAAAAAACGAAAACCATTTGCGAGGGGGAGATGGGGGGGTCGGGGAGGGGGTCAAAGCCCGGCCTGCGCAGGCGCCCACGGTCATTTCTCTTTCTTCTCGGGGTCTGTCTCTGTCTTCTCTTCTTTGGGGTCTCCCGTCACTTCCTTCGAGGTGGCGTTCTCTTCGTAGCTGGGGAGCAAGGAAAGACTTGGGTGAGTTTGGAGCACCCTTCCCCACCCGAATCGCCATTCATTTGGGTCCCCCTTTGAGACGGGGGGGGGGGACTCCGACTCCCAGAATCCCCCAGCTGGCCTGCTTTTAAAAGGGCTGGACTTCAACTTTCCAACATCTGAAAGCATTGCTGGTGGTTAAGCGTGCACAGCGGTTGTAAAATGGATGCTTGAGCCCCTGTCCACAAGGGACGTGTTTTGGGGGGGCAGGAAGTGGAAGTAAACCCCCAGTTTCTGGCCCCCCAAAAAATATATATCCTAAATCAGGGCCAAGAAATAACTATATTTATTCAGCATATGGCATATCATACATGGGCTAGCCCAGGGGTGGGCAACCTTGGCTCTTTTATGACTCGCGGACTTCAACTCCCAGAATTCCTGAGCCAGCCACGCTGAGGGAAAAGGGAGAGGTTTCCAAGCTGAGCCATGCTGGCTGAGGAATTCTGGGAGTTGAAGTCCACGAGTCATGAGGGGGCCATAGTTCCCCCATGCTGGCTCAGGAATTCTGGGAGTTGAAGTCCGCGAGTCATGAGGAGGCCGTAATTCCCCCATGCTGGCTGTCCTTAAGACCCTCAACTTCAGGTGCTCAGTACTCCCCCGGTATCAAGGGGGTACGACCAAGTCCTTAAGACCCTCAACTTCAGGTGTTCGGTACTTTCCCGGTATCAAGGGGGTGCGACCGACTCCTTAAGGCCCTCAACTTCAGGTGCTCGGTACTTCCCTGGCATCAAGGGGGTACAACCGACTCCCTAAGACCCTGTTGAAGTCCACGAGTCCTAAAAGAGCCAAGGTTCCCCACCCCTGGACTAGCCATTTAAATCAATATTTCAACTGGATTAGTAGAAACCAGCAAATTAGGTTGATTGCTGAACATCCATATCGTATGACTGCAGAGAGGGGCCCGGCCGTCACAATTGCGAATCTGGGTCCCAAAAATCCTTGGGGGGGGGGGGCTCTGATATATCTTGAAACGGCTGGTAAGCGACCAGTCGTAAATTGGAGACTGCTTAGGCAGGTAGTCCTCAACTTACGACCACAACGGAGCCCGGAATTCACGCTGCTAAGTGAGAAATTTGTTAATTGAGTTTTTCCCCCTTTTACGACTTTTCTCACCCCTGTCACTGCGGTTCTTAAATTAGTCACCCGGTCGTTAAGCGAGTCTGGCTTCCCCCATCGACTTTGCTTGTCAAAAGGTCGCCATGACTTTGGGACACTGCGACCGTCGTAAATGTGAGTCTGTTCCCGAGCGCCTGAATCTGTGTTCACCTGACCACAGGGAAGCTGCAACGGTCGTTAAGCGGGAATAACGGCCGTTAAGTCGCTTTTTCCAGCATCGTCGTAACTTCGAGCTGTCACCGAATGAACGGTTGTAAGTTGAGGCATGGGCAGTCCTTGACTTACGACCGAAATCCGTTTAAAAATTGTCAAGGTTAAGAAACACTAATCTAGCCGCTCGCTATAAATCACGAGCTGTTTTCTTTCACGCTATCAGTCCAGATCAGCAACCTAACACGCTTTTCAGAAGAATTAGGAAAAAAGAAAAAAAGAAATCTCCTACAAATAGTGCTCACCTTACCACGATTCGTTTAGCGACCGTTTGAACTTACAGTGGCCCTGAGGGAAAAAAAATGACTTGCTTCTCGCACTTACGGCCGTCGCAGCCTCCCCAGCATCACGTGATCAAAATCCATATGTTTGCTAACTGACTCGTACTTACGACGGTCGCAGTGTCCCGGGGTCGTGCGATCTTCTTTTGCGAACCGGCAAAGTCGTTAAGATTCGCTTAACGACCGTGTTACTCACGACTGCAGTGATTCAAAATTCAGACGCTCGGGAACAGACTCACATTTACGACGGTCGCAGGGTCCCAAAGTCACCTGATCCCCTTTTGCGACTTTTTGGAAAAAGCAAAGTCGATGGGGGAAGCCAGACTCGCTTAACGACCAGGTCATTAAGCGAGTCTGGCTTAATGAATCACAGCTGTGGCCAGAAAGGTCGCAAAGATAGCTTGACAGCCGTCATGGTTAGCAATGGACACGTGGGGTTCAACTGTGGTCGTAAGCCGAGGACTACCCATAAGACACCCCCCACCCGAAACCCTTTTCATGAGAATTAAAAATAACTTTCTGTCTACAAGCGGCCCACGCGGTGCTCCCGGACCCTCCCCGCTCCGCCGGGATGCTCGGCTCTCCCCCTACCTGGCCAGAGTCACACAGGCAGGCCTTGGATGGGGAGGGGGTGGGGGTGGAAGAAAGGGGAGGGGGCTACATGATGCTGGGACTCTGCTGCCGGCGTCTGTGGGAACAAGGCGGGATCTGCTGCATGGAGTCAGCCAAGCTGGACGGACACCCGGAGACGTTAGGGAAATGGGTCAGTCGGGGGGTGTGGGGCAAGATTTCGGCAGAAGACTCATAGCTGCAGGAGAGAGAGAGAGAGAGAGAGAAAGAGAGAGAGAAAGAAAAAGAGAGAAAAAGAGGGGCAGGCAGGAGTGGGGAGAGACAGAGACACAATGGGGAGGGGGGTGAAAGAGAAGCTTAGGAAGAGCTGGCGAGGCATAGATGAGCTAGCCAAGTCGCCCAAATTTCCTTTGCAGCTTGATACCCACGGAGGAAGAGTTCGGGGGGATGGATCAAAACGGGGGTGTCCCATGGGGTGGCCTGATTACAGAATAGCAGAGTTGGAAGGGACCTTGGAGGTCTTCTAGTCCGACCCCCTGTTCGAGCAGGAGACCGTCTATTAGAGGTGTCCAACTTTGGCCACTTTTAAGACATGTGGACTTTAATTCCCAGAATTCCCCAGTCAGCTATGGTAGTAGAAGTCCACAAGTCTTAAAAGTGGCCAAGGTTGGACACGGCTGACCCTTGGAGGTCTTCTAGTCCAACCCCCTGCTTGTGCAGGAGACCGTCTACTAGAGATGTCCAACCATGGCCACTTTTAAGACTTGTGGACTTCAATTCCCAGAATTCCCCAGTCAGCTATGGAAGTTGAAGTCCACAAGTCTTAAAAGTGGCCAAGGTTGGACTTGGCTGACCCTTGGAGCTTCTAGTCTAACCCCCTGCTCAAGCAGGAGACCCTCTACTAGAGATGTCCAAGGCTGGCCATTTTTAAGACTTGTGGACTTCAATTCCCAGAATTCCCCAGTCAGCTCTGGGAGCTGAAGTCCACAAGTCTTAAAAGGCACCAAGGTTGGACAGGGCTGACCCTTGGAGGTCTTCTAGTCCAACCCCCTGCTTGTGCAGGAGACCCTCTACTAGAGATGTCCAACCGTGGCCACTTTTAAGACTTGTGGACCTCAATTCCCAGAATTCCCCAGTCAGCTATGGGAGTTGGAAGTCCACAGGTCTTTAAAGTGGCCAAGGTTGGACACGGCTGCCCCTTGGAGGTCTTCTAGTCCAACCCCCTGTCGAACAGAAGACCCTCTACTAGAGATGTCCAACCGTGGCCACTTTTAAGACTTGTGGACCTCAATTCCCAGAATTCCCCAGTCAGCTATGGGAGTTGGAAGTCCACAGGTCTTAAAAGTGGCCAAGGTTGGACAGGGCTGACCCTTGGAGGTCTTCTAGTCCAACCCCCTACCCCATTTTGGACAAATGGCTGTCCAATCTCTTCTTCCAGTGATGGAGGACCCACAACCAGCTTCAGCACCCCACTAAGAACATAGAACAATGGAAGGGACATTGGAGGTCATCTAGTCCAAGCAGGAGACCCTATACCATTTCGGATAAACGGTTGTCCAAGTCTTCTTTTTTGAAAACCTCCAGTGAGGGAGCACCTACAACTTCTGAAGGAGAGAAGCTGAGATGTATCCGAGGCCCGATACGGCCTGTTGGACTAATACAGGACCATTGTGATCCCTGGCCCACTTTAACCTCTCTTGCTGACCCCAACGTTTGGGAAAGAATCACAGTCCAAGCTTGGAGAAGATGGGACAAGCCATCTCCTGGCTTGGAAGGTTTAGCTCTGGGATGGAAGGCCACCTGCAAATCCCACGGTACAGACTAGACGGAGAAATAAAGCCTATCCTAAACCGAAGGTGGTGGCAAGCAGAATCCATAAGGTTGCCAGAAACCAAGATGGACATCTTCGTATGGTTTCTAGAAGGTGCCCCTGAAGGTGCTTGGGGCTTCTCAAGCTTGGGAAAGATGGGTGGACTTCAACTCCCAGAATTCCCCAGCCAGCATGGCTGGCTGGGGAATTCTGGGAGTTGAGGTCCACCGCAGGTCAGATGTGGTAGGAGCTATGAACAGGATGGGAATGTATGCAGCGGAGAGGAGAAACAAGAGCAGTTGAAGTAGAAGGTGGAGAACTTCAGGGCAAAGCTCTCTCCACCTTACTACTCCACTCACAAAGCCAAGCCAAGCACCAAAGAACCAATTCCCAAAAGGCCCTGGACGGCTTTTTTGGCGGACGTATCTCGACAGATGCCATCACTCTTAGAAATGGGTCATGGAATGCCTGTAAGCTTAGCTCAGAGAGCGTGAAGGACCCCACAAGCTTCCTCCTCCTCTACTTTACAGACCCCACTCTCTCCTAGCACTGATGACGTTCCCTAGTTGGGTCATGAAACGTCTGCAAGAAGACCACCAAGCTCAGAGAGCACCCAGGACCCCACAGTCCTCCTCCTCCTCCTTCTCCCCCCTCCCTTCTAGCACTGATGATGTTCCCTAGTTGGGTCATGAAACATCTGCAAGAGAACAACCAAGCTCAGAGAGCACCAAGGGGTCCCACAGTCCTCTTCCTCCTCTTCCCTCCCTCCCCCTCCTCCTCCTCTTCCCTCCCTCTTCCTCCTCCTCCTAAACACTCTCCCTTCTAGCACTGATGGTATTACCTAGTTGGGTTATGAAATGTCTGCAAGACAACCACCCAGCTCAAGAGCACCAAGGATCCCACAGTCCTCCAACTCCTCCTCTTCCCTCCCTGCCTCCTCCTCCTCCTCTTCCCTCCCTCCTCCTCCCTTCTAGCACTGATAACATTACCTAGTTGGGTCATGAAATGTCTGCAAGAGAACCACCCAGCTCAAGAGCACCAAGGATCCCACAGTCTTCCAACTCCTCCTCTTCTTCTTCCCTCCTCCTCTTCCCTCCCTCCTCCTTCTCCTCCTAAACACCCTCCCTTCTAGCATTGATAACACTACCTAGTTGGGTCATGAAACGTCTGCAAGAAAACCACCCAGCTCAGAGATCACCAAGGACCCCACAGTCTTCCTCCTCCATGGTCATGTGATCAAAATCCCAACGCTTGGCCACTGGTCCATATTTATGACGGTTGCAGTCTCCCGGGGTCATGTGATCAAATTTTGGGCTCAATTGTGGCCGTTAAGTCGAGGACTACCTGTATCTGGGTTTTGAGTATGTGGGGGAGACCCTAACTCTCAAAGGAGGTTACCCTCTAGAGAAGTCTGCCCACATCTTCTGTAGACTACTGGGGAGGGGGGGAGTTCTCCACTCAGCACCCCCAACCGCTGCATTCACTTAACGACTGCTGAAAGGTCATAAAATCAGGTTGGTCTCGTGGGTGACCTCACATAGTAGTAGTAGTAATAATAATAATAATAATAATAATAACAACAACAACAACAACAACAATAAATAAATAATAATAAATAATAATAAAGTTGGAAGGGACCTTGGAGGTCATCTAGTCCAACCCCGCTTAGGCAGGAAACCCTATACTTTATGTCCATCGCGACATATGACCGTAACGGGCAGGTTCCAATGCCACCACCAGGTCGTAAAATCGGGTCAGTCACGTGGACACCTTGATTTAGGAGTCATGACCCAAATTAGAATAGAATAGAGCTGGAAGGGACCTTGGAGGTCTTCTAGTCCAACCCCCTACTCAATCAATCAATCTATCAATCAATCAATCAATCAGAACAGAGCTGGAAGGGACCTTGGAGGTCTTCTAGTCCAGCTCCCTGCTCAAGCAGGAGACCCTATACCCATCCCAGACAGGTGACTGTCTAGTCTCTCCTTAAAAATCTCCAGTGATGGGTCGCCCACGATTTCTGGTGGCAAACCGTTCCACTGGTTAATTGATATTCCAGGCCCTGTTCTGGTCGTAAGTCGAGGACTGCCTGTGCCACACAAAAGGACTCACCTGAACATGTCGGTCACTTCTCCTTTGGCCAAGGCTACCAGAAGCGGGAAGCCGATGCAAGCCGGAACCAGGTACAACAGAGCTGGCTGGGGAGGGAAGATCAAGAGGAAACTTTAGAACGAGAGAGGCAGAGCAGAGGGAATCGGGGTCTGGCCTGCTAAGAGACACCCCCTCATTCACAGCACCAGCGTTCCTCACGACCTTCCCGTGGTTCCCGGTGGGAAGCCTTCTCCAACCTGCGGCCGTCGTTATCGCAAGGCAGCAGAGGCGCAGCCAAGGTGCCGAGAAGCCCAAACTATCTGTGGCCTGGTGTTTCTCAAGCGTGGCCATTTTAAGATGGGTGGACTTCAACTCCCAGAATCCCTGAGCCAGCCATGCTGTTGGCCTGTCCCTTTAAGACAGGGGTGGGGGTCTATAGCCCCTTCATGACTTGTGGACTTCAACTCCCAGAATCCCTGAGCCAGCCATGCAGTTGGCCTGTCCCTTTAAGACAGGGGTGGGGATCTATAGCCCCTTCATGACTTGTGGACTTCAACTCCCAGAATCCCTGAGCCAGCCATGCAGTTGGCCTGTCCCTTTAAGACAGGGGTGGGAATCTATAGCCCCTTCATGACTTGTGGACTTCAACTCCCAGAATCCCTGAGCCAGCCATGCTGTTGGCCTGTCCCTTTAAGACAGGGGTGGGGGTCTATATAGCCCCTTCATGACTTGTGGACTTCAACTCCCAGGATCCCTGAGCTGAGCCAGCCATGCTGTTGGCCTGTCCCTTTAAGACAGGGGTGGGGGTCTATAGCCCCTTCATGACTTGTGGACTTCAACTCCCAGAATCCCTGAGCTGAGCCAGCCATGCTGTTGGCCTGTCCCTTTAAGACAGGGGTGGGGATCTATAGCCCCTTCATGACTTGTGGACTTTAACTCCCAGAATTCCTGAGCCAGCCATGCTGGCTCAGGAATTCTGGGAGTTGAAGTCCACAGGTCCTGAAGGAGCCACAGGTTCAGCTCCTATCGCCTGATCTGGGGCGGCCGATCCGAGAAGCTCACCTGAGCATGTTTGAAGACATGCATGATGAAGATGGTGAGGCTCAGTCCAAGAATGTAGGCCACAAAACTGGTGTAGAAGTAGGTGTGTGTGTTCTTTTTCAGGCTGCGGTGACAAGCAAAGGGGGGGGGAGAGGGAGGTTAGGACAGTCCAGAACCCAGGTGCAGACCCACAAGCCGGGGGGGTGAGGAAAGCAGAGCCCCAGGGCAAGAGGTAGCCGGAGAATAAGAGAATGAACAGAGTTAGAAGGGATCTTCTAATCCAGGGGGGTCTTCCAACTTGGCCCTTTGATGACTTGTGGACTACTCCAACTCCCAGAATTCCTGGCTGAGGAATTCTGGGAGTTGAAGTCCACAAGTCATACAAGGGCCCAGTTGGAAGACCCCTGTTCTAATCTTCTTTATATGCCAAGCAAACCTCCTTCTTTTATTAATTCAGCTAAATAGATCTGTCTAGTGCTGTGAGTGGGCAAATGTCTTAACACTGGCCGCATTCGTATGCACAATAGCAGACCTCCTTGGCCCCAGGTGGGGTGTGCAAATCCAACCTGGCTCAGGGGTTGTGCAAAATCAGAAGCAGGGTGCTTTATAATCATTCATAAAAATAAGGCTATTTCTGCCAAAGATTCCTGGGGTTTTGGAGAATAGAATAGAATAGAAGAGAAGAGAAGAGGAATTAAACAGAATAGAATATAGAAAATTAGAATAGAATGGAATGGAATAGAATAGGATAGAATAGGGTAGATTAGATTAGATTGTATTAGAATAGAAGCTGGGAGGGACCTTGGAGGTCTTCTAGTCCAACCCCTGCTCAAGCCAGAAACCCTATACCATTTCAGGCAAATAACTGTCCAGTCTCTTCTTGAAAACCTCCAGTGTTGGAGCATTCACAGCTTCTGGAGGCAGGTAGTTCCACTGGTTAATTGTTCTGTCAGGAAGTTTCTCCTTAGTTCCAGGTTGCTTCTCTCCTTGATGAGTTTCCATCCGTTGCTTCTTGTCCTGCCTTCAGGGGCTTTGGAGAACAGCTTGACTCCCTCTTCTTTGGGGCAGCCCCTGAGATAGTGGAAGGCTGCTATCCTGTCCCCCCTGATCCTTCTCTTCAATAAACTAGACATACCCAATTTCTGCAACCGTTCTTCGTATGTTTTAGCCTCTGGTCCCCTGATCATCTTTGTTGTTCTTCTCTGAACTCTTTCCAGTGCAACTACAGGAGACAAGCTATTCCATTAATTGTTCTGTCAGGAAGTTTCTCCTTAGTTCCAGGTTGCTTCTCTCCTTGGTTAGTTTCCATCCGTTGCTTCTTGTCCTGCTTTCAGGCGCTTTGGAAAATAGCTTGACTCCCTCTTCTTTGGGGCAACCCCTGAGATCCTGGAAGACTGCTATCATGTCCCCCCTCGTCCTTCTCTTCATTAAACTAGACATACCCAATTCCTGCAGCCGTTCTTCCTATGTTTTAGCCTCCGGTCCCCTGATTATCTTTCTCATTCTCAACCCCAATTTTTCCGCTCTCTTAATGACAGCCATGTCTGAAATGGTGTAGGGTTTCCTGCCTGAGCAGGGGATTGGACTAGATGACCCCCAAGGTCCCTTCCAACTTTATGATTATGATTATTAATGCTGGAAGGGGGGTGGTGGAACATTTTTCAATTGTTAAGTTGCCGCAAAGGATTTACCTGATATCAAAGCGCAAGAGAAGAGCGATGAAGATACCTGGAGGGAGAGGAAGAGGGATAAAGTCACCTTTAATCTAACATCTGCCCCCCTATAGATGCCCTTGGTGCCCGCCAGCCCCCTGGATCTCCAGATGTCAATTAGCTGCAGCCCCACAGCGCCCCCTTGTGGCTACAAATACAGACAGTCCTCAATTGAGGCCTGCTGATTCCTGTTGCAAAGTGAGACACTCGTTAAATTAGTTTTGCTTCATTTGACGTCTTTTCTCGCTGAACACTCTTATTAAGCAAATCAACTGTGGTTGTTAAGTTAGTAACACGGTCGTTAAGTGAATCCTCATTGACTTTGCTTGTCGGAAAGTTGCAAAAAGGAATCACGTGATCCCGGGGGATACTGCGACCGCCATAAATGTGAGCGTCGTAAATGTCAAGCGACTGAATTTTGATCACTTCATCACGTGACCATTGGGGGGGGGGAAAGGTTTTGCTGCAACAGTCTTAAGTATGAAAATGAAAGTATGAAAGTACAAAAATCGGTCATAAGTCACTTTTTTTCAGTGCCATTATAATGTCAAAACGGTCACTAAACAAATGGCTTTAAGTCAAGAAGATAGATAGATAGATAGATAGATAGATAGATAGATAGATAGATAGATAGATAGATAGATAGATAGATAGATAGATAGATAGATAGATAGATAGATAATGGATAGATGGATGGATGGATAGATAGACAGACAGATAATGGATGGATGGATGGATGGAGATAGACAGATAGATAGATAATGGACAGATGGATGGATGGATAGATAGACAGACAGACAGATAATGGATAGATGGATGGATGGATAGATAGATAATGGATAGATGGATGGATGAATAGATAGATAGAAAGACAGATAATGGATAAATGGATAGATGGATGGATGGATAGATGGATGGATGGATGGATAGATAGATAATGGATAGATGGATGGATGAATAGATAGATAGAAAGACAGATAATGGATAAATGGATGGATAGATAATGGATGGATGGATGGATGGATTTACAACATCTGTCTTACCTGGAATGACAATGTCACCCAAGCCCAGCATGGCAAAATTGTCGGCTTCCAAGCCTTTCTCCAGCAGATCTTGGGGGAAAACCACTGCAGGGGAAAAAAAAAAAAAGAACAGGAGGAGAAGTGAGGTGATCGTTAAGGGGAGATGGAAGAATCCAAAACAGGCGGCTGTTTTGAACAATTTGACACTGAATATTAAATTTACATGTTGTTCTTGACTGACGTAGGAGAAGAGCAAGCTGAGCTGGAAGGTGGAGCTAAACATGTCATCAGTTTAAAGTCACTGCGTTGCCACAAGAGAACCAAATCCAACCCCTCCCCCATCCCCCGTGAATTCCATCGAATTCATCCTGGACTGTTCGTTGACTAGATTCATGTGTAAGTAGTCCCCAGGGCAGTGAAAAAACATTACATGACCATTTATACACCATTGCAGCATCCCCAATATGCTCACATGATTAATAATAATAATAAGTTGGAAGGGATCTTGTAGGTCATCTAGTCCAACCCCCTGCTCAGGCAGGCAACCCTATACCATTTCAGAACAATGGCTGTCAGTCTCTTCTTAAAAACGTCCAATGTTGGAGCACCCACAGCTTCTGGAGGCAGGTTGTTCCACTGGTTAATTGTTCTAACTGTCAGGAAGTTTCTCCTTAATTCTAGGTTGCTTCTCTCTTTGATGAGTTTCCACCCGTGGCTTCTTGTTCGGCCTTCAAGCACTTTGGAGAATAGCTTGACTACCTCTTCTTTGGGGCCGCCCCTGAGATACTGGAAGACTCCTATCATGTCCCCCCTCCTCCTTCTCTTCATTAAACTAGACATACCCAATTCCAGCAATCGTTCCTTATATGCTTTAGCCTCCAGTCCCCTGATCATCTCTGTTGCTCTTCTCTGCACTCTTTCTAGAGCAGTGTTTCTCAACCTTGACAATTTTAAGGCATGTGGACTTCAACTCCCAGAATTCCACAGCCAGCAATACTGGCTGTCAAATTCTGGGAGTTGAAGTCCACATGCCTTAAAATGGTCAAGGTTGAGAAACACTGCTCTAGAGTCTCAGCATCTTTTTTACATCGTGGTGACCAAAACTTTGCTTTGCCAGTGGCATGGATTTGACGAAGATTGTAAAAAAAAAAAACCAAAAACTTTGGGGTGGGGTGGGGGTTTTCCCCAAAAAGCCAAAAACATGACTTTTGGCTTTTTGGGGAAAACCCCCACCCCACCCCAAAGTGAGCAACGGGGTCTGTGGCATTTGTTTAATGGCCGCATTCGTTTAAAATTACTTTTTCCCCACTTCTGTTGTACATTTTGAAAGGCCGCTAAATGGAACGGTGGTATGTCCAGGACTACCTCTGTCTTGAAGGCCCCTACGGAGTTGGGGAGGGGGCTACTACCCTTGTTGGGACAACGCCCGCCATCCAAAATCTCACCAGGGTTAGAGGTGAGCTATCCCTACAGATTTGGGAGTTTGTAACGCCAGCTACTCACGTTTGATGGGGGCTTCAAATGACTTGGCCACAGTCACCATCACGTTGGTGCCAAAGACCTAGGAAAAAGGGAAGCAGAATTAGGAAGAGCAGGCAGTGATCCACCAGGTACGGTATTATTATAAGGCAGGGGTCTTCAAACGTGGCCCTTTGATGACTGGTGGACTTCAACTCCCAGAATTCCTCAGCCAGGCACGCGTGCCTGGCTGAGGAATTCTGGGAGTTGAAGTCCACCAGTCATCAAAGGGCCAAGTTTGAAGACCCCGGTTATAAGAGATCCTGTTTCTGCCACATTTCTGAAGTTTTGGAGTCATGACAGCCCAAGAATGCTCAGTAGAGCAAGGAATGGGCTGGATGTTGAGCTACACCCACCTCGAACTCCTTACACATCGTCTGTCCAAGTTCACGGTGCCCACGTTCTCAGCCTGGTCCCCCTCCCTTGCCATCACTAAAAGCCTTGCCCATTATAAGTCCATAACTTTATTTTTCAGAGCAATTGGCTGAGACTTTCCAAATCCAGGGAGGCACCGACAAGTAGCTGGGTTAAGGAGAAGCTCCTGCAGACTGTCCAGGAGACAGCGAGTTCTAGTCCTGCCTAAGGCTGAATTGGGACCAATCCCCAGGAGACGGTGAGTTCTGGTCTCGCCTTAGGCATGAAAGCCGGCTGGGTGACTTTGGATCAATCAACAGGAGACAGTGAGTTCTAGCCTCGTCTTAGTCATGAAAGCCAGCTGGGTGATCTTGGGCCAATCACCAGGAGACGGTGAGTTCTAGTCACGCCTAAGGCATGAAAGTCAGCTGGATTTGGGCCAATCACTAAGAGACGGTGAGTTCTTGTCCCGCCTTAGGCATGAAAGCCAGCTGGATGACTCTGGGCCAATCACCAGGAGACTCTGTTCTAGTCCCGCCTTAGGCATGAAAGCTGGCTGGTTGACTTTGGGCCAATCCCCAGGAGATGGTGAGTTCTAATCCCGCCTTAGGCATGAAAGAGGCTGGTTGACTTTGGGCCAATCACCAGGAGATGGTGAGTTCTAATCCCGCCTTAGGCATGAAAGAGGCTGGGTGACTTTGGGCCAATCACCAGGAGATGGTGAGTTCTAATCCCGCCTTAGGCATGAAAGAGGCTGGTTGACTTTGGGCCAATCACCAGGAGATGGTGAGTTCTAATCCCGCCTTAGGCATGAAAGAGGCTGGGTGACTTTGGCCAATCACCAGGAGATGGTGAGTTCTAGTCCTGCCTTAGGCATGGAAGCCAGCTGGGTGACTTTAGGTCAATCACCAGGAAACAGTGCGTTCTAGTCCTACATTGGGCATGAAAGCTGGCTGGGTGACTTTGGGCCAATCACCAGGAGACGGTGAGTTCTAGTCCCGCCTTAGGAACAAAAGCCGGCTGGGTGTCTTTGGACCAATCACCAGGATTGGTTCTAGTCCCGCCTTAGGCATGAAAGAGCTGGTTTTGCTTCGTCTGTGCCAATCTGGTGTACTGAGTAAAGTTTACACGCTTGGTAAAAATAACGTGCCCGGGAGTTTCTTTTTTCTGGATCCGCCCATTGGACAGTTGGCGGATCTGCTGAGCCTGGAAGCCAGCTGCAGGAGCAGGGGCTTACCCAGAAGACGTCATAGACGAAGAGACCACCAAGCAGGATGCAGCCCGTGCTGACGTTGTTCAAGTGTAACAGCTCCACTCCGTTGAGAGAGAAGGCCAGGCCAAAGAGGTTGTTGGCGATCCAGTGCTGGAGGAAAGAGAAGGGAAGTCCTGAGCAACACTCACTCATTCACCCCACATTCCACCCTCTTGGTCTGATGGGAAGCCAGCCCGTAGGCTACGCAGATCCTCCTGCCTGCAGTCTGCTCAGAATAAGAGAACAACAGAGCGGGAAGGGAGCTTGGAGGTCTTCTAGTCCAACCCCCTGCTCAAGCAGGAGACCCTATACAATTTGAGACCAGTGGCTGTTCAGTCTCTTCTTAAAAACTTCCAGTGTTGGAGCATTCACAGCTTCTGGAGGCAAGGAGTTCCACTGGTTAATTGTTCTAACTGTTAGGAAATTCCTCCTTAGTTCTAGGTTGCTTCTCTCTCTGATTAATTTCCACCCGTTGCTTCTTGTCATGTGCTTTGGAGGACAGGTGGAGCCCCTCTTTGTGGCAGCCCCTCAAATATTGGAAGGCTGTTATCATGTTGCCTCTAGTTCTCCTTTTCAGGAAACTAAGAGAACAAAATAACAGAGTTGGAAGGGACCTTGGAGGCCTTCTAGTCCAATCCTCTGCTTAAGCAGGAAACTTTACACAAACTTTACAGAATCTTCTTAAAACTAGACATGCAACCATTCTTCATATGTTTCAGCCTCCAGGCCCCTAATCATCTTTGTTGCTCTTCTCTGCATTATACCCTGTACCAGGGGTCTTCAAACTTGGCCCTTTTATGAGTTGAAGTCCACAAGTCATAGAAGGGCCACGTTTCAAGACCCCTGCCCTATGCCATTTGAGACAAACAGCTGTCTTCTTAAAAACTTTCAGTGATGGAGCACCCACAATGTCTGGAGGCAAGCTGTTCCCCTGGTTAATTGTCCTCACTGTCAGGAAGTTTCTCCTTAGTTCCAGGTTGCTTCTCTCCTTTCTTAGTTTCCACCTGTTGCTTCTTGTCCTGCCTTCAGACGCCTTGGAAAATAGCTTGACTCCCTCTTCTTTGGGGCAGCCCCTGAGATACTGGAACACTGCTATCCTGTCCCCCCTCGTCCTTCTCTTCATCAAACTAGACAGACCCAATTCCAGCAACCGTTCCTTATATGATTTAGCCTCCAGTCCCCTCATCATCTTTGTGGCTCTTCTCTGCACTCTTTCTAGAGTCTCAACATCTTTTTTACATCGTGGTGACCAAAACTGGATGCAGTATTCCAAGTGTGGCCTTACCAAGGCCTTGTAAAGTGGTATTAATTATTCCACCTGCCTCACCAGCAGGTCAGCTCACCTTCCTCAGCAGGTACCAGACGCCCACAATGCTGCTCATGGCCAGGCAGACGAGGTCCTTGGTGTCAAATTCGTAGTTGACAATCTCTGGAAGGAGACAATAAATGCCATTTTCACGGTCACTAATGGGAGGATACGCCGAAGGGGGGCTACCTAAAGGCGAAGGAGGCACGTAATTAAGCAAGGTGACGAAAAATCAGGAATCTTTGTTTAAAAAAGAATCCCTTTGGGAGATAGAGAAGAAGGAAGCGAATCCTTAAGGGAAAAAAGGAAAAATGTCAACTGAGCCAGATAAAGGAAGTTGGGCGTGAGTCCGTCGGAAGCCCCTCCCCAAATCCCACCGACAGTTGCCAGACGTGTCAATCGACAAGGCAAGACTAGCGGCCGGTCTTGTCAATCAACAGAGGAAGGGGATGCCTGTTCCACAAGGAGGGAGGGAGTTGTTATCTTAGTTAAAATATATTTATCCGTATTCCAACTAAAGGGGACAATTTATGTATACATCTGTTTTGGGGTTTTTTTCTTTTTCTGCACTTTTTTTGTGTAGCATTGTCTAGTTTTTTTTTCTCCCCCCCTTTTTTTGGACTTTGTATTTCAATGTTTTGAATAAAATAAAAAGAAAAATTGAATAAGAAAAAGAAAAGAAAAGGATTTGGGAGATAAAACAGGTCCTGAAGCCCACCCACTCTTAGTCTCTAGGGATCCAAACTTAGTGGCTTCCTTCATTCTAGTTAGTGCCTGCCAGCCTAGTTGTGGAGGATGTGTGGGTGAGATGGTGTGTGCATGTGAGAAAGAGCATGCCTGCCTGTCTTCTATTTATCTCTATGTATCATCTCTCTCTCTCCTATCTATTATCTCTCTCTATCTACTATCTCTCTCTCTCTACTATATTTATCTATCTATCATCTCTACTACCGGTTTCTCTGTCTCTATCATCTCTCTACTATCTATCTCTATCTACTATTACCTCTCTATGTATCTCTCTACTATATCTATCTATCATCTATCTCTCTACTATCTCTCTATCTCTCTATCATCTATCTCTCTATCAAGTTATCTGTCTCTCTGTCTGCCTAATTTTTAAAAGACACTATCTATCTATCTATCTATCTATCTATCTATCTATCTATCTATCTATCTATCTATCTATCTATCTATCTCTATCTATCTATCTATCTATCTATCTATCTATCTATCTATTATCCATCCATCCATCCATCTCTATCTGTCTGTCTGACTGTCTCTGTCTGTCTTATCATCCTCTATATCATCTCTATCTCTCTATCAATCTCTGTACCTCTATTATCTATCTATCTATCTGTCTGTCTGTCTGTCTGTCTGTCTGTCTTATCATCCTCTATGTCTCTATCATCTCTCTCTCTATCAATCTCTGTACGTATCTATCTATCTATCTATCTATCTATCTATCTACCTACCTACCTATCTATCTATCTATCTATCTATCTATCTATCTATCTATCTATCTATCTATCTATCTATCTATGCCTATCTATCATCTCTAGCTATGTATCTCTGTCTCTTATCATCTATCTATCTATCTATCTATCTATCTATCTATCTATCTATCTATCTATCTAATCTATCTATCTATCTATCTATGTCTTATCATCCTCTATGTCTCTATCATCTCTCTCTCTATCAATCTCTGTACCTATCTATCTATCTATCTATCTATCTATCTATCTATCTATCTATCTATCTATCTATCTATCTATCTATCTATCTATCTATCTATCTATCTATCTAATCTATCTATCTATCTATCTATGTCTTATCATCCTCTATGTCGCGCGGATCCGGGAAGGCTTGGACTCCGACTGGCTGGCCCAGGGGGAGGAGACGGAAGCAGGTCTTGAGACGATTGTATGGGAGGAGTTTGATTCTGTTGCTCCCGAGGACGTGGACAGGGTCTTGGGAGGGCTGAACGCAACCACATGTTTGTTGGATCCGTGCCCCTCCTGGCTGGTACTGGCAGCCCGGGAGGGTACACGAGCCTGGCTCCAGGGAATTGTTAACGCTTCTTTGCAGGAGGGCGCCTTTCCTGCGGCCCTTAAGGAGG